CCTCACATTTCAGATATTGCCGTATTGGTTATCACAGTGGACTTTCAATCCTGAGAACGCCAGTTCGAATCGATCTCTCCCAGCTTGGCAGTTGAAACAACGAAGAAGCGTATTAGTTCCCCTTCCTCTGTCCACCCAGCAACATTAATGGGTGTAACACGCTTAATCGATCGGCAAAGTCACATGTGGTGGGATAAAGTGTGGGTGCACCCACCTCTTAAAAATGTCTGCCCAAGTGTGGAAGAGTAGGCCAAATACTCGATACAATGGCCCTCTTGAGCTCCCTCTGAAGAGGGCCCTTTTGCCAGCAGTGACGTGAGAAAGAAGTTTCAGGGCGGCACTTTTGGCATTTACCATTGCCCTCCCGTAGTAGGTGATCCGTTCAAAATTAACGCTCCTGGCTGCATTCAGCCGTCCCGTGAAGTATTTCATGGATGGATCCACCGCGCGCACTGCACCACCCACAGATGCTCTCTGCTCGTTGAGCCCCTGACTCAAGGCCTCTCTTTCTCAGCGCGGGCCAACCCAGGGATCATTAAACAAGGAGCGAGCGAGGAGCAACTACTGCATTTCGGGGGGGGCGGGGGGGGGGGGGTTCACCACTGTCGTGTGTAGGGGATCATTAAACGGCGAAGCGGGCAAGGTGGAACTGCTTCATTTGAGGGATCACTGCTGCCGTTTCAGGAGATAATTAAAAGGTTGGGGTCGGAGGGGAGAGGGCTGGGGTGTGCACGCGTGGACTCCGCATCATTCGGAGTGAATCGTCAATTGAGGACTTAATTGCGCGACAGATTTTTATGGGCTGCGCGTGGTGGTGGTGGTGGTGGGGGGGCGGCAAAGTGAAATACGGTGCTGACGCGGCTTCACCTGGGAATACCGCAGCCCCCCCCACCTCCCGATATAAACTGTAAGAGCAAAGGAAGCCCCGCTGTTGGTGTAGACATTTCAGACGTACACCCACTGTGGTCGAAGACTTATGGCTTTCGTTTTAATTAGTGATAATATTGCTCCGAGACTGCAAATAATCGCAGCCAATGTCAATCTGAGAACTTGTTGGTGGCCAAAAATTGTTGGTTACTGCGTTACAGACAAGACAGAGTGCAGATATTGTCGGCGAGATAACAGACCAACCTGCATAGACACTCACATCTCCAAATGCTTACGTTGACTGCTAAAGAAAAAATATGCCAACGTCAGCAGTAAGTGATGTAGCCTTGCTTTTTTTTAACAGCGCTTGCAGATAAAGCCCCGTGCCATCTATAACCACGTTTCGCATCAACTTTGGCGTTGACAATCGATCAGTTGATCAAGTGGTCAGACTTCACAGTCGATCGCATCGGAACGTTTTTCCACGTGATCGGTTAACGCACGTGCTCTTCAAGAGTCTTCATAGAAGCGTCGCAGCAATTCGCATTTACTTTAACTTTTTTTATTTATCGAGGTGAGGCATTGCCCCTTTTGTGGCCAACGTTAGCATGTGCCAGGTTCAAGTGGCATCGGTGAGTTTTGAATTAAAATGTCAAGCCCCTCGTGAAGCCGTCTCGATCTAGTAAACATTGTTCGAGGGACGTCGGAACACTTTAAATGGCCCTCAACGATCTTCTCGAGGGGGTTGGCCTTAGCAGTGCGGACAATGCGCACGGCCGAATAAGCTCGATCCTACTACGGTCACCGCCACTGACAACATCATAACGCAAACGCCCGAGATGGCGCAGGGAACCGCACGCGCGTGTTTTGTGATGCACTGCTTATTAAAAGTATAAGCGCCACGGAAATTCATTATGGCCATCTCTCCACATCAATTTCTGCTCTGCCGCAGGAGCTGCGGCAGCAATTAGTGTTTGCGTGTCGATAAAATGCGCGCGCGTGCATTGGGCGAGATTGCGAGATGTACTAATTGGAATTGTGTCTGATTGCCACGTCTGGGCGCTCGCTTCGGCGAGCAGTGCAGCATGTTGACCGTTAATTGCGAGTGCGCTCATTGCATCCTCGTAAGGCTTATAAATAATACACGGCCTCAATTTGCGCACGCGATGGCCAACGCCGTTGCTGGACACGCGCGCGCGTGCGCGCGCGCGCATGCAGACAAACTGGTTGCGCGCGTTTGCACCACGAGACGTGCATTGTCTACGAGCTGCTTCGTGCTCGGTGTGGTCGGCATGGACTGCCATGGCATCAGGGATGGCTGAGTAATGAATCGGCAGTAAGTACAGGACACTGAACAGTTATTGATGCTGTTATTGAGCTCCGATACACACATGCGCTCCAGATTTACGCCGTCGATTGGCTGCACTGCGCGTATATTAGGCAGACGTATTTCCGCGCTGTGTTTAATCACGAGGGGAGGGGGGGGGGATTGTTCAGTGCACTTTTCACGGACCACGTGCTGGGATAGCGTACGTCGTGAGCACACTATGTCGCAATGTGACTTTGAGCGGCACGTGTGACGTTTGGGTGCTGTGTAGGCTTATGGCGCTGCTCAAGTAAGGTTCTGTACAAGTTGACTGCCCACCTCTGTGTCATCAGTTAGGAGCCAATAGAGGGATATCCGCCCCTTACGTGCAATACGATGCGGTACAATGCGACGTTGAGATATGAGTGTGCCTAAAGGTGCTACGTAGGCTTACATGTCGCGACGCTGCTCAGGTAAGCCTTTATACCAATTGACTGTCCACCTTTGTGTCATCAGTTAAGGGTCAATATAGTGATATCCTCCCGTAAAATTTTAACTGCCTTCCCTCTCTATCTCCTAATTATGCAGTCAGGCACCTCGTGAATAACAACATTGCAAGCCACACACCACGTCTGTTTAAATCTGTTCAAAGTGGTTGGTCACATGAACATAGCCTCTATGGGTATCAGAAAATCGATCTAACCCCAAAACACCTCTATTATGGATAGAATGTATTGTGTTTGTCTAAAAGCTTAACAAAAAATATCCAGAGCCAGCGGGGTGCAGCGGATGACAATGCCGCTGAATGAACCCGGGGAACCTGAGGTTTGATTGACGGCTATCACGAGTGACAAGTGGTGATCTGAATTGGTTCTCGTGGCCGCGTCTCCCTTCGCCAACCTTCCACTGACTAGTGTGGCGAATCAGGACCATTGCCAACACGGTGTGGGGAGGCCTTCAAACAGCGCTGGGGTTTGCAATCGGCGAATGAGTCGGTAATAGTATGACCCGTTTACCTCGCACCCAATGCCACGACATTTTTTTTCGGGGGCAAAAACTGTGGGGGCCAGGCGTAGGCACTGAATATTTCGGCAAGCAAACAACTCTGCCGATTTTGAAGAACGTAGACCAACGTTCCGAGCAGGACCAGCTTCAAGGAACGGATGGGCACGTGGGATAAGCGCATGACATCCACGCAATGCAGACCTCTTCAATCCCTCGGTTAATAGACAGGCCCATTACATACGTGTAACTTCTGAGCTTTGTGGTTTTTTTCTTCTATTTTTGACTATCCTCATTTTAAGGTGAATTTTTACTGTCTTGACTTTGCCTTCCCTGCAACCAAATGGCACACGTTGATTTATTTCATTGTTGGTGCACGGTAAACGCGAGAGTGTAAATTCGTTTTGTGTAAATCAGCGGGTTGTGGAATGCAGGACATACATATTTATACGTGTATATGCCTATTGTTGAAAGTCGAAGTGCTGTCTGTATCTCACAGTTCATCCAGGCGATACAATATGCATACGTTTAATGTCAGGATTTTTATAGATAGTGTACAAGTAAATACTGACTGTAATTTATAATAAATTTTGATTATTATAATGGATGCATTTTTTATTCTAATACAACTGTCTATCCGATTGTACCATATCTATAGAAAACACAGTTTTCACCAATTTTGATTATTTTGATGTATTGTGCCATCGTTAAATGATGCAAACATATTTATCTTAGATGCATAACCCCTTTCCGAAATATTCCACTGATATCAAGGTTTAAAATGGCATTATTCAGAACTTTTTCAAAGATAATGTTGAAAAAATTTTGATTTAAAAAGGGCTTCAGAGATCCCAGATGGCAGTATATGTGTTTCAAAGGCCTTTTTTGGTTCCTTTGGTGATAAAAGTAGCATAGGCTGTAAATTATATGCAATGTTGGACTCTGATGTCATAAGTAAACCTTTCCTTTTATTTTTGCACATGCTGCAGAGATTCACAGTCAAAAAGGTAAGAATTACTGAAATTAATTCCTTTTTTTTGGCTTGATGTTGCTTTCATTGGTGTCTGTGGTCATTATTTTCACTGTACAACAATACATACATTTTCGTGCTTTGTGGTTGAATGTTGACCTATTTAAGCATTTGGCTTAAAATGTTCATTGGAACCAAAGCTTCACAACGTTACTTTTGTTGAGATGGCAACGGTGTCTCAGAGTTCAGAGCCCTGAGCCAGCACCGCTGAGATGCTGGGTTCGAATTCATGTTTCAGCCACTACCTGTCCATCGGTGGACATAATGGTCTCATCAAAGTTGCTGAAAAAACCCATCGTACTAAATTTATTTTTTTCACCTAATTTGACTAACTTCCAGCTCTGAAAATAGAAAAATACATATTTTTGTCATGTAACAAACTGTCACGTAGTAAGGTATATGGGAAAGGGTAATCCCAACTTTGTAAAGGCCACTGGCAAAGCTTTCCAGTACTGTGAATAATCTTTCTCAGCTGTTGTTTGACGCAAGAAATGCCCTTGCTCAGTGAGATTTCTGAATGGATGAATCATATAATCCAGACTTATTTTTTGTAAAATGACCGTAGGTTAACCACAAACCACTGTATTCTTGGTTCTTTCGGAAAAGTCACGTAGAAGGGAAACAATAAAATAATAAAAATATGAAACAATAAAATTCTCACGACGTTTCGACTGCAACACAAGCAATCATCATCAGGTGTGAAAACCACCTTTTTTTCAAATTTTCTTATTGTGGTTTTCACACCTGATGATGATTGCTTGTGTTGCAGTCGAAACATCGTGAGAATTTTATTGTTTTATGTTTTATTTTATTGTTTCCCTTCTACGTGACTTTCCCGAAAGAACCAAGAATATGAATCCCTGCAGTCACGAAAGCTTTAAATCACAAAACACTGGTTAACCTGTGTGATATTTTAATACAAGTCAAAAGTAATTGGCAGCACTGAACTCGAGCATTTAGCCAACAAGAGTGGCAAGCAAAATATGTTGCATATTAGGGGAGTAAGGATGCACCATTTGATCAATTAATATTGATTGTTATGCTAATACATGCATCCGATTGTGTGGAAGAATTGTTGTTTTTCAATTACTTGAGTGGTTTTCATGTGTCGTGGGTTCATGTGACCCATCTAGCCAACTATAGGCCCACCACATTCACCACATTGTAAAAAATAATAATTCATTATTAAAAATAATAATTGATTATATTATTAAATCAATGTTCCACCCTGAATGGCAACGGTTCATTTAATCGTGAAGGGAGCGACTCGTTACACACCACAGAGTTAACACGCTCGTGTGTAATATCTCTCCCATTTTTCGACCCAAGACAGTGAAATGCAAAACGATTTTTAATTACCATACTGCTTATCCCACACGACGTGTAATGAATGGAACGCTAGTTGTCAGCTACACATCCCCGCTATTAGCACAATCCAGTTTTGAGCATCATCATTTTTCATTTACATGAAAATATGCATAATTTACATATTGATTTTCATTTAAGCAGTGATTTACTTTTTATTGACTTTGTCAAATAGTAAAAAAAAAACAACAAGCCTTCATCATTATTAAGCATATCCAAACTGTTTTTTGTCAACAAATTATTTGTCATCAAAGCACATAGGATTAGTTTGGCTGATTCTTAAAACTGTATTCAAGGCCATACACTATTACAAACTGGTGGTTTTATGGATCGCCTGAAGGACCCCCTTACTTACTGAAGTACCCACTGTAAACCAGACCATTTATGCTTTTTTTTTAACAATGTATTTAATTTTCTTTAATTGTATTTTTGAGACCATCAGCTTGTGGTGGATTACAGAGACCAATACGTCTCTTCAATCAGCATTGATCAACAAGTGCACAGATATATTTTTTAAACTCTCACAGTGCACACTCGTCGACACTTTAACAGAATATTGTTTGCAACAATAAAACGTACAATTGTGACTTTTAAAATGAATATTTAATCCCGCTTGTTAATGATACCAATGACCAATATTGTCATTTACTTTTTACTTTAGTTAAAAACAAGACAGCTTTACTGACTTTTTCAGAATCGATGCTAAGAGTTGTCTCAAGACCCGATACCGTTAGTCTTCACTATAGGCATTACCAATGGTGTTAAAAGTGCGTACATTTACTTGCACCTGTACTTGCTTTGAGGAAATGCTGTGAGTCTTGTGTTGCTACCAGTTTGGGGTGGGTTTTACATTCTTGACACAATTCATTGCTCATCATAGCTGCCAACATGGCTTCAGATTCACAATGGAGGTGCTCACCGAGTCATGGAAAGAGAGGCCCTAACTTTTCTGTGAGAACAATCTGGTATGCATACGTACATTCTAAGCTACAAATCACATTCGTGCACTTCCAATTTGAGCTGTTTGTTCGGCCGTGGAATATAATAGCCACTGTTTTAATGCACCTGTGCATACCAGAATGGGCTCATTCACTGTAACATCCAGACTGGGTCACACCTCCTGCTGAAAAAGAGCCATGTTGACAGGTATGACGCACACACTTGCGCGCACCTCGGCTTTAATTTGCGACAGTGCAATTCTCGCCGCACACGTTGGCACGTGGATATTTGCCGTATGGCTGCGTACGACCTATGCTCCCGAAGTGAAATGACATCCTCTTAATATGAAACCGTTGGGCATCTCGATCACTCCCCCTTCCACCAACCTCGGGGTTGGTGATAATGTAAAATGCTGGCTGTAGTTTTGCACATCGAGCAGTCTGTATTTTTGGGTGGCCAGGATTAAGAATCAGAGTTAAATCGATGAGGATTTATTCACGATTACAGCAATACCGATAGTATCGGTAGCAGCTGTGCTCTGCAGGAGCGTACATTGGATGAATATTTAGCTGTGGGCTGCTTCTACTGATGTGGCAATATTTTCCCATGTGTATCATAATCCAGTATCCAATAAAGGTGTTGTGATTTGATAAATTCAAATAAATATCAAATCAAGATCGAGATCGTTTATCTTGATTTGTTAAATTCAATAAAAAAATGACATTCCAAGAACAATAATGAACAGTAGAATACGTGTCTCAGTCGGATATTAAAGATACACTTTCTAAATTCTTGCGAGGCTGACATTTTACATGAATTTAAATTGAGGTTATTTCAGTGACATTTTTTTCCCATGTTAAAGAATTTACGTTAATTCGAACAGCGGCCCGGGCATGGTACACATTCCAATATGGCCACTGACTGCACAGTCTGGGCTGTGTGGGAATTAGGGTTGCCACCTCTGAGGTACAAAAAGAAGATGTGTACATACCATCGAAAAGAAGAGTATCTCAAAATCCCAGAAGAGGGGGGGGGGAACTTCATGTCAACGCATTGAGCGATGTATCACTATTATTATCCTGATGCGTATAATGAAAACCGAGATTTTTAATGTCCGTGGAAGACTTGCAGATCTGCCAGGACAGCTACCTCAAAAAATAGGACGACTCTGGGAAAACCAGGAAAAGGTGGAAACCCGAGTGGGAAGGCCCCAGTGGCTGAGCGTCGCACTTGCTTGTGGTTTTTAGTTTTCGTTCGTCCTTTCTGTCGTGGCGGACTGACCGCAGGTGGATGAAGAGGCCTCGCTGCGGCGTTCCCGATCGGATCGACCAGGGCCTGCAGGCCGGCCTGCGGCGCAAGCGCTACGCCCTCACTGGGCAACGGTGGCAGCAGAAGCACATCACCTACAGGTACTGCGCCTTCACCATCCTGTGTTCGGTCAGAGCGGGGATAGCATTGGACCTTAGCTGTGGGCTGCTTCTAAATTTGTGGCTGTAGCCTGTAATCGTGTCGCATGATGGTGTTGTGATTTGATGAATTAAGATATATTTTGTCCCATTGCTAGGTCATAATGAACAATATAACGAGTGTGTCGCAGTCCTAAGTCAAAGATGACCTTTCTAGAGACGTGCAAGGTTGATTAAGGTTTTCCCTCACAATGGATCCCCATGGTTGGCATGAGAGTGGGTGATGAGAGTCATCAGGTCATCAACTTCAGCCATCCTCAGTCCACTGCTGGGCAAAGGCCTTCCCAAGTTTTTGCCGTCTCTCACAGGCCTGCGGTGATCTCTTCACGGCCCGTGTGAAAATCCAACTCGCAACGGATATAATCAACTGGGTTTCCCGTGGTGGACGTCCTCTCAGACGCATTTCATCCCTGAGCTGCCACTCTGCCATTATCCCTGATCATCGGCCACGGTCCATTATCGTGAATCGTCCTCTCCAATTCACTATAATGGTGTCATTAGCCTGCGTGTGTGCTCTCATATGTATTCCCCTTCATGTCCCTCAATGTAAATACCAGCGTGCATCGCTCCATGATTATTTACGCACTTTTCAGTTTTTGTGAAGTGCTTTATCAAAATTGGACATGTAACAATATTCATAAAGCCTACGTGTTAAAATGTAACAATATGTGATGCGTATTAGTGTGGTTTTATCTCGTGCATCTGAGAATATCCACTCTGAATAACAGGTTTAGTCTGACCGTTAATAATGATCAAGGATACTCTGCATCTACACCTAATCATGTGCCTGCTCTACAAACTCCTCGTTCACACAGTGTTTTGAGAAATCACTTTATTTTCTTGTGCGAAAGAGTAAGGACATACCGGTAGATTTCTACATTGTTGAAGAGCTTCCAAATTACATTCTGCTTGTCAGTAGAATGCTGGTGGTTTTATAAGGCGTAGAATGTTAGAAAAATATGAACCGAGTGTAAGTAGGTTTTGTGTGGTGGGGGTAAAGTGCGGGTACTCCATTCTCTCCAATATCCTTCAAATCTATCTGGTCAGGATGGAATAAGCAACATACCCTCAAAAAGGGCTCTCTAGAGCTCCGTCTTCAGCCAGCAGTGGCATGAGCAAGCGATTTCAGGGCAGCAGTTATGAACTGTTTTGTTCAGTGTTTGTTCATCCCTACTTTCTCGCATTTTCTGCCCTTTTCACTGAAAACGTTGCCACTTTTCTTGTGCTTCTGCACACATGCCTAGGGCACGAATGCCAGTATAACGATGCCAGGCAAAGTGCAACGTTTAAATGAAAATAAATATCTGGAAAATATGTTTTCAGTTGTTTTAGCCATGTGAGTGGTCGGCGCTTTCGTGGCAAAACTGTACAGGACAGAAAGCTTTGCCAGGGCATGATGCCAAACCACGGCTTCTAATAATGAATTGATTCGTGTCGTTATTGGCACCATCCCTGATCCACGAAGCAGCCGTGCCCGTGGAGCCACACTTTCCAACCTTTTTTTTTTTCCCGGCGGCAGTGTTTAGAGCGTGGCTTGTTGTCCACAATTCACCCCTGTAAATGCACGGCAACGGCAAGAGTTGACCTTGCTGTGATGCCGCTCTATTCTGCGATTGCCTAGGATCGGGGCTCGGCAACTTGTGGCTCTCGAGCAGCGTGCCGCTCTTTCGGGAACAGATTTGTGACGTCGTTCACACGCGTTGCGGCCCTTGAAATATTTTGAGTTTATTTTAATTATATATATTTTTTTGTTATTTTCTTTGAACTTTTCTACGTTACTTTACCGAGAGACCCAAAGAATATATATTTTTTTCCCAATTCGAACAACAACAAAAAATGGCTCTTCTTGTTATTTTGTTTGCCGACTCACTGACCGAGATGTCGATCAGTGACATGAACATAATTTAAACGGCAAACAAATATTCTTATACCAAAAAATATTTCAGGATATGATAGATTGTGACTAAAGTATGCAATAATTTACAGCCTGCCACTCGATTAGGCCCTGAGAGTTAAATTAATTGTCTCGATGGATGGTTGCGATTTGATTCAGAAATCAATTATTTTATTTCACGTTTTTGGTGAACCTGTAACCTCTCGTGGTACGAACTGAAAAGCATCGATTCTTACACAGTCAATTCAATGCATCTTTCGGTAGTTTAAGAATCAATGATACTCGACGATGGAGTGTTCACCCATATAGATATTTCTGTGGTGGTTGCTGGTGCAGTAGGAGAGACATTTATGCAACAGATTGAAATACCTCATCTGACACTGCTGAGAAACCCGTGTTTGGCATTTCGTTTGCTAATTTTTTATTGGTAATGATAATACGACTTCATTATACCTCAACGCATGCACGTGAGTGGCAGTCAAACACTTCGAGAGAGGATATTAAAAGCTGACCCAGACAAAGTGTTTATTGTTTATTTTTTATATACATTACAGTCAGAATCAGAATATTTATTTATACTGGAGGAATCCGTTGAGCTATAAACTCTTTTCCACAGATGTCCAGTAGGGGCTGGTCAGAATGTTACAACAACAAACAGTACATACACGATAAGAGTGCAAAGTATAGGAAAGGTAAATAAATCGCTTAAAAATAGAAATATATATGCACATACAACTTTTTTTATATTACCAGGTAAAGCCCACTGAGCTATTCATTTATTTTTCAGAAGTGACCAGGCCACAAATGATAGCCCAACAAAGTGGCATATCATGTGGACATTTATAGCAGCCAAATAATCGAAATGATCACGTCGAAGTGCTCCCCGTAGTAGGAGTTGGTCGTCGCAAAGCCACCCATGCGTTGTATCGTGTCGTGACCCGTTGCCCGTAGCCGGGCCTCCTGGGTAGACTTCATGTCCGCATCATTGAGGGCGGTGATCCGCGAAGCGCCCAGCTTGAGCGCGGGGAGTTGAGGGGGAGGGGTCCCTTTTTGGGAGCCCCACGCTCGCTCAGTTTTCAGGGCAGGTTTAAAAATGTTTACTTTTGGTGTAATTCCTCTCATTATTCATGCACCACATCACCGTATCGCTGATTAAATGTTAACTTTAATCTCAAAATTAAAGCACTCGTTTATCATCAGTCTTAAAGGTTATCTCATATCTAATGTCTGTTCATGGAAAATTATCCAAATGCCAAGTGGGTTGTTTTCCCCGTCACATTTCACAGCATATTTAGGATGCGATCTTATACACTTCTTTCATCAAGTTAAAATCACAATGTTATTTCCTCCCATGCTGTGCTGGCTGCTGTTCAATCGGTTTGCTGATAACATTTTTTGTTATTATCTCGGCAGTGGTAAAGTATTTAATGTCCTATATGTGATTTTGAAAATGATGTAACTTTGTACAATTTATTTTGTGGGTAGAGTTTATGGCTCTCCAGCAGAGGATTGAGGATTCAATTTGTTGTTTAGGGTGTCGATTGAGACTTTGACTTCTCCGGGGTCAATACAATAGTGCTAATGTGGAGTCAGTCAACAGTGTTTTTTTTGTGAGTTAACTCATGCACGCCGTGGTTTCCTCAGAACTGCTTCTTATGTTGAGTTTATTGTCCTTCCCCCACACCTCCGACCATCACGGTTGGCTACGTACGGTGTGAAAGAAGTTCAGCATACATAGAGCACAGAGTAATGTGGAATTTCCACCACTGAGTCAGGGCTGTAAACAGCACACTGGTGCTGCTCCTTTATGCCCTCCCAACCAAGCCCATAATCATTTGAAGGGAAACTACTTGTGACTTTTTTTATATATATAGTATTTAATAAGGCTGTTACGAATCACTAACATCATCCACCCCCCGTTTCCTCCTCCCACCTGCCATGTTTTAATGACCTGGTGAGATGCAGAACCACAATTACGTTCAGGATTTGACAGTTTTTTTTCCATCACGTGCTCTGTCTCGTTTTTACAGTCTTCTTCACTTCGCTGGCCCCCTAGACGTTGCGTTGGCCTACCACTCACAGATCATTTTCACGAGTCAAACATCTATCCGCGCGCGCGCGACGCGACTCGTGTTCCACAGCACGTATCGGCAGCCATAAGAATCGGCGTTCGTCAAGTATGGAACCGCTATCTTCGCTCGAACGGGTGCAGCGTGCAGAACTACACGCCCAAGGTGGGCGAGGCGGACACGCGGCGGGCGCTGCGGCGCGCCTTCGACGTGTGGCAGCAAGTGACGCCGCTCGTCTTCGAGGAGGTCTCCAACCACGAGATCCGCAGCAGCCGGCGCGAGGCCGACATCATGATCTTCTTCGCCTCGGGCAACCACGGCGACAGCTCGCCCTTTGACGGCGAGGGCGGCTTCCTGGCGCACGCCTACTTCCCCGGCCCGGGCATCGGCGGGGACACGCACTTCGACGCCGACGAGCCCTGGACGCTGGGCAACGGGAACGCTGGAGGTGGGTGGCCGGGCAGGGAGCATTCCCTTGGCGCCTCGGTCCAGCAAACGCGACGATAGCTGTCGCCGAATCCATTGACGATGCTCGTTTCGCTCATGGTCATTGGCACCGCCGCTGATTCGCACGGTTTGCTACATATGATGCGGAGGAAGTTCAACATCCATAATATAGGTTTTTTTTTTGGGTTAGATCGTGTAAATATATAAATGTGTTGTTAAACCCGCCGCCGTCCCGACACAGCCAACTAGTAAGGGTTGTCACGTAAACAGAACGTGGCCAATTCGTTACGAGTACAGCACTAGTGTATATATATTTTATTATTTTATTGTTTCCCTTCAACGTGACCTTACCGAAAGAGCTAAGAATAAGAATATAGTGTATAGTAGTGAGGTGTATAGTAGTGTATAGTGTAGTGTATAGTAGTGTAGTGTATAGTGAAGTATATAGTAGTGTAGTGTATAGTAGTGTAGTGTATAGTGAAGTATGTAGTAGTGTAGTGTATAGTGAAGAATATAGTAGTGTAGTGTATAGCATAGTATATTATTAGTACAGCAACACCGGTGTGTTGGAGAGCCAAGCCACAACATTTACAATCTGAGTACGACGTTTCAACATGCCTACATCAATCATCTTTAATCCACTGCTGGGAGAGGGTCTCTCCAAGTCTCCGTCATCTCTCGCGGTTCTCCAATGCAATCATCAACATCGTACCTGCCCACGAGCAGATATCATCTCTCCAGCATTTCGGCTCGTTTAATGCCCAAGGCTTATTTATTTGCAGTGAAGCTTTAGAGATATCTGGAGGGGTGTGGTGGTCGCTGGGGAGTTGTAATTAGTGGAAGGCCGGAAACTTAAGCCTAGACTCAAAGAGAGGCTCGATTTCCTACCCCACAGTCTGCAGATGTTGTGACTGCGGAGCAGCTTTTATTTTCTTAGCACACACATTGTGCCGAGCAGTGGTGAACGGAGTGCTCCTGAGACCCACCTGTGAAAATAATTATTTTGTTAAAAATAGCATTATGGATTTTGAATATTTTTGTTCACACCGACTTGCAGGTACGTGATTGCATAGCAATACACAATGCTAGCAGTTGTTGAAAAGGAGGCCAATACCCTAAGAGGGGACTCGAAGAGCACTTTCTAGTTTAGGCCCTTCTGCCAAAGTGGTGTAAGCAAATCATTGTAGGGCTGTACCGTTACCTTTTAGACAAAGTACATTTGAAGTTTGGCTGATTTGGCTATGGAAGTGGTCTCTAGCACAGCGTTTCATTCCATAAAACCCTGGTAAAGCCTTATTTGGCCGCGGAACATCTGCATGAAGCTGATTAGTAACAATAATAACTGACACACATACATCCACAGTTAACCTTCCCAGGCAAAACGTGTATTGTCTTTAGCCCGTCTGTGTCATCTTATTGGATTAGATTGTTTTTCCCAAGAGGAAAAGGGTTCTGTCATCCTCCAAAGTAATGATAAGAAGCATCTCAACTGAGAAGCAAATTACATAGCTTTCTTTGTAGTATCAACAATGTGCCTTCACTGTACCAATAGTCCAATGGGGCATTCTCTTTCGATAATTTTCAGTATTAATTTACAAACATAACATTTTAGTGGCAATTCATGATCATCTTCTGTACACAGAATGTGTGCTAATTGAATACATATGTTTTTTTTATCCACTTGCAATTCAGCGATGGTACGTAGAATTACCATGTGTATAATAGGCATCTAATGGGCACGTTGGTCCAGAGATCTACTCTTAGGCAGCTACACCAATTGATTGCACTTGCCATGAGTAGTTCACATTTTCACTACATTTTTTCCAATATTCATATTAATGGTATCATTAATATGAGACTGCATTCCCCGAAGGAGATGGAGCGATGAAGCGAGGCTCATGGGGAGGTTCTAAGTGTATTTATACATTGCAGGTCCATGACGAATGGCTACGTGTGGCCCGAGTACAATGTCACACACACACACGTGACGGTCGTATGTTCGCCCTGAACAAATCACCGTCCCCACTCATAGTCGCTATGGAAGGAATTACGAGCCACGTGGTCGAAATTGACAGCCAAAGGAGGAGTGGATGCGACCGAGAGGACGGTCGACTGCGGGAGATGGAGCGACGGGATCGGCAAGTGCGGCAGGAGCTGGGGTGGATTGCGACATTGCAGGGACCGTGAGAGATGGCGACAGCTTGGGAAGGCCTTCATTCAGCAGTGAATATATCATAGACGACGATGATGATGACGATTGTTATGATTATTATTATTATTTCCTGTAATGCATTACATATTTGGGGGCATGATTTATGTTGCCATTGACCGTAACGCTGAAACACCAACCAAAAACTCGGCACGGTCATTGTTGGCCCATTGAGCCGGCGCTCAACAGCCGTGATGACGAGAAACAAAAACATGTGCCTGTTGCTCTCTCCCAGGTAACGACCTGTTCCTCGTCGCCATCCACGAACTGGGACACGCGCTGGGCCTGGAGCACTCCAACGACCCCGCAGCCATCATGGCGCCATTTTACCAGTACATGGACACAGAAAACTTCGTCCTGCCCCGCGATGACCTGCAGGGAATCCAGCAGATATACGGTGAGCTGCCGTCAACCGACGTGAGACAGCCTCCCGTCATCGAATCACCGTTCATGATTTGATATTCATGCCATTCCTATAGCGGTGAGGCTATCGGAGGAGGATCTGTGTTTCACACGCATAGTTTGCAGCAGTTTCACAAGAGGCATGGGGAGGGAGATGATTGCTCTGTGTTCTCCAAATAGAGCAATGTGCAGGTAATTCTACAGATTTGGCAAATTTTTACCATGATGCTGCTGTGGTTGATGCATGGATGTATACAGCTGAGGTCTGAGGGTTGCTCCTTCTGAGTAAGAACTAAGAATATGTACATATCACGTCAATAATATTTTTTTCGCAATACCAGAAGAGCAGAGAGCTAGATGTACATCCATTGTCAACTGATGAAAAATTTGACTTTTAGTGTCTATAGATTTTATGTCCTGAGAAGACATAGATTTGCTTCGGACAGCTACTTCAAAGATAATGGTCCTGGGAAAACCAGGACAGGTGGTAACCATAGTTGAACAGGGCAAACTACAAGGGGATCCACTTATATGCAGCCCACTGATTTCTGTATGCATTTATGTTCAACTTCGTATGTAGCCAAGCGCGCTAATCAGAGGTGCGGGGGAAGGGCAACAAAGTAAAAACTACTGAACCTCTGACGTTCTTCTCGAGAGATGATTGAATCGTGAGAGCAGTGGCTCAATATGTTACAAAGGAGGCTCTTAAAATGTTGAATAAGTGTATTTGAGATCGGTGGAAGACATGTAGAGGCTTTCAAATACAATGTTGTTTTCTTTATTTCTCTCTCTTATTTCAGTGGGGACTGTGATTAAACTGAGTTCTCAAAGTGTAAGTGAGTTCATGGCCACAGGCCCAGTCACAAATTACTCTGCTCAATAAAAACATCATTAAAGTTGGTTTGGGGACTGAATTTGGCAAATTTGAACTCAGATAGTTAAAAATATATCTCAGTTTTCACTCTCATCAGATACGCTCAAGTCCTGTGAACAATGTTCTGGCCTCCAGTGGCCACAGAGGTCGGTTGAACCCTTATACGTGCAAAATATACAAACACAAATGTTCTTGACTTTTACAATGTACGTATCATGATCTCAAGACTCGATAATCATTGATGAATCGATGCATTGGGTCCACCGTTATCTGTCTCTCTGTTTAACTACCAAACTATTTCGCTGAACGCAACAACAAAAAAGATTTAAAGCCAATTGGCCCATTGGCTCGAAGTTGATTTATTTGATTTATTACCAATAATGCTCCACTGAAGCAACCATACGTTTTTTTTTGTTTCTGTGGATCTGTTTTGCTTTGATTGGTGGTTTAGACGTCATTGGATCTTCTGTTATTGTTGTGTTTTGTTAGTTGTGTATTTGTTGTTTTTGCTGTGTTGTAAAAGTTTTAAAGTGTGTCTGATTGTTTTTTTAATATATATTTCCCAACTGAATGTGCAAGTGTCCCACTGGGTGCAGTGTTTGTTGGCTCTCGAGTATTAATTGTACTTGGGTTTGTTTATCACCTCATTTGTAAAGGGCCCTCTGGCGTGCTTCATTTCAGTCGTCATTTTTATAAATGCTTCCAAAGTGTTTATTTTTTGACACAGAGGTTTTTCATATGACAGTTCCATGCTAAAAAACCCACCAACGGTAGATCTATTCCCCTTTGGCTGAATGGTGTCTAAAATAAAATTTAGTGACACCTACAGTGTTTATTCATGTAAAAAGCAATACACTTCACACACACACGCGGACATTAAAATTGATAAACAGTGTTATTATAGCGGTATCTATGATGCGTAAAATGATAGAACAGTTAGGTGTTTAGTTACGAAAAAAGTCATACTCTATATGAGCATCTAATAATTGGTAAACTAAAATATAAAGCTGTACTATGCATATATAGTAGTTTGACACAGGGGCGGAGCTATGATTTTGACTTTGGGGGGGCTGACTTCAATGTTCTGAGATATCCAGTGTAATGTTTTCCAATGGGCGCCACAAATCTATAATTATTTTTTATTAGATTTGAACGCGGAGTTTATGAATAGGTCGGAGCCGCTGATGGGGCTAATAAGTTCGATAAGTTCGAAAGGCTGCCGCTCAAACAGCCTGCAGGGCAGCACAAGGTGGCAGCCTGCAGCATTTTGCAGCAGCCGGATATCCGGTTATCCCGATTACCGACTTTCCCAAAATTTCAGGGGGGACAGAGCCCCCCCCAGCCCCCCCTAGCCCCCCCTGTGGCTCCACCCCTGGTTTGACAGTTGATGGGTCACAGGCAGTGAGATATCTTGTGTGGACTCCTACCTTTTCCGAGATGAACTGACCAGCGTTGAAGAGTAGGCCCCTGAAGAGGCCCTCTCGAGTTCGCGCGAGTGGAAGCTCTTGCACGAGCAGTGGGGCGAGCAGGCATTTGCAGGGCTGCGCCTTTACCGTTCACAATTCGTGCACCAACGTGACTTTCAGGTGTTTTTTTTTATTATTCTCACAAAAAAATGTAATGACACTTTACGCATACCTTACAATTGGGTGCAAAAATATAAAGAACGACTATGTGTAGCTTGAGGGCCCTGGTCATTGAGAGCTATCGCTGGCTTGCACGGTCATTATTTGCACAGTGTGGCCTTTTTTGTGTTGCCTTCTGTTTTACGCAACATGCCAGCTGAACGTATACACTTAGCCAGCAAATAAGCCACAGCACACACCAGTGGCGCTACCATTTAGGAACATTGTGCATTTCTTGTGTTGCCTGCCGTCAGAATGAACGGCTTATTCCGAGTCGACCAGTCTTCGCGGTGCCTGCACAGTGGAACTCCTTGCTTAGCTCCAAACGAACTGGACAGGAGTTTCCAGAGCACCGCTGCAATGGGCGTGGCCATTTCGGGATAATTGAATGATTGCTTGCGTTTCCACGAAATGTACATTCAATCCTTTGGCCACATCTGACATGGAAAAGCTGCACTGACTCATTTGGCTGTCCCATTAAATTTCTGTTACGTGACCATGCGCATAGCCCCTCCGTTACCTTACCTTCCCTTCCCACCCGAAAAAAAATATTCCTAACTCTTACTACCCGTTGCCTTCCATATTAAAACATTTGATACAATGATACCTTTCATGTACTTAAAAATATGTTCATTCCAACTTTCATATACAAATTTGGAAGTTGAATATGCTTTTCTGCCAAAGTTTTAAGATCCAATTCCCATGTTGCCTTCAAGTATTTTTTTGCGTGCAAAATTTTGCTTGGAAATACAGAACAGTTTTTTTTTTTACACAAGTGACATGAACGTGGACATATACAGGGCTTGACCATGGTGGTCAACACCAGGATATTAAGCGACACGTGTTTTTTTTTTTAAACGTTGATTTATTACAAAGAATAAGGTACAATGTTATAACGAGCTTCTCATGAAGTAATAAATGAGCATACACCAAGCAATGTTCTACAAGAACTGTCAAATATTTTAAATAATATATATAATTTGCATAATAGGATAGTTTACATTTTAGATACCAGTTTTTTTATACTTTATAGTCATTTCGTAGCATCTGCAGATATTTGGAAACTTGAATTAGCTTCTTCAAAATATACTGTACTCATTACTGGAATTAGTTATTATACCTGGAGTAGGCTTCCCTTCAGGTTGACTCAGCCCGAAATAAGTACAGACAGCGCTGGCCTCACCAACAGCACATGTGATATTCAGGCCTTAATAAGAGCCTATGGAGGGCCCTCTGCAAGAATGGAGCTATTAGAGAACCCCTCTAGGGAGTATTTTGGCCTACTCTTTCACACTGGGCAGACATCGTGGAAGAGGTGGTAGTAGCCACACGTTACACTACAACACAAAACCAATCCGGTCGACAGGCTGGTAGCTGGGTGGATAAAGGCGGGGAAAGGGCGTGGTGTGGATTTCAGAAACTTGGCCATTGTTTAAACCACCACGCCGAGAGGTGGAATGGATCCGGTGACTTCTGGATAAGTCCAGTGGGCTAAACATTACATTACGGCAGCACTAGATACGAAAACTTCTATTTATATTTTACCAGGTAAGGCCCCACTGAGCCACATCGCTCTTTTTCAGAAGCAACCTGGCCACAAATGATAGCTCAACGGAATGGCTCATCACGTGGCAAATACTCTAAATGAATGTTTCTACATGTGGAAGGAAAAACTGGACGACCCGGAGAAAAATCCACGCGAGCACGGGGAGAGAGAGAGAGAGAGACACGCAAATTCCAAATATGCAACAGGCGTCAGGGTCGGGCTTAAATCCACGACCTCCTGTCTGTGTCCCCTGGCAGGCCCAGCTGAGCAGGACAAGGTCCCCTCGCGACCCCTTCCGACCCCACCTCCTCCCCGGCGGCCCGAGACCCCGCGCCGCGTCGACAAGGTGCCAAAGCCTCCACGCAGCCCCGACCTCGGCGTGGATCGACCGCCACCGCCGCCCGGCACCACCCCCGACATCTGCGAGGGGAGGTTCGACACCGTGGCGATTCTCCGTGGCGAGATGTTTGTCTTCAAGGTGAGTTAAGGACTGAGGTGTCGCGGTGTATTAACGTGTGCGTGAAGTTTAAGATCGAGGATGATTGGATTTAGTTTTGTAATGAATTGAGTTTTTTTTTTATAATGCTGGCTGTGTTGAACAGGAATCAGCACATACATGTGCTCCAGTTTTCTTCTGGAGCATAGAAGTAAGACTTGTACTACTGCCTCGGCTTTCACGGTTGTGCTTGTGATAAAGGGGGCACAATTTTAACGTGTATTTACAGTAGAGATAAAAGCTAATTTATTGAACTGGCTCGCCAGTTTAGTTTTCAGTCAATAGACCTTAGTGTCCATCATGATTGGCATGTGTTTCAATCACTCTATTCAGCATTACTTAATTTGTTTAAACTCGCTCACGGAATGCAAAATCAATTCTCGTAAAATACTTACATCGAATGTGGGTTGATATTTCAACTGATTACGAAAAAAAATAACAACATTCAGAGCTTCATTGCTGCTTCTCAACTTAGAATGTAAATGGAGGTGAAGTTGTGGATTTAGTTGAAATCAACTGCAGTGACTTGCTGAATAATACAGACTACTGTTTATCTAATATGTTTTTCACTCGCATTTTTATGTTTAATTAATATGATAATAAATATAATATAACCTGTAATCAGACATTGATGTAAAATTTAAGTAATTTCAGTGAAAGCTACATCTAGTTTCTAAGACCTTAAAATGCTCTGAGGGATTATATTCCATTGTAAAGTAAGTTAGCTTAAATGAGCATGTCTTACTAACTTCACAGAGAACGATGTAAAACTCGACTGGTGCACAGAACCGAGGTCACAGGGCTCTTAGGAATTATCTTGGTGGGGAACCCTGAATTCAGAATTACTTACATAATTTGCCAAGATTTACAGTTGGAGCACAGACACGAGTGTGATAGTAATGTACTTATGTGAGTTGTGTTTATAAGTACATTACCAACCTGCACTGATCGAAATATATCAATAACACTGTGGCCTTAAAATAAATAATATATTCTCTGTGACATGTTGGGCAATGGCCCTTTTGCCATAGCACATGACCAGCGTGGGTAAGCATGGGTCAAAGCCCCATGATTGGAAGATGTTGGGAGGCCTTCATGAAGTGATGAATTGACAAAGGGATACTAATAATAATAATTGCGTCGTTATTGCCGGCCGGATACAAAAATTGGTTAAGCTTCACGAGTTGAACAACTTATTTGTGTGTCAGTAAGATTCTCTGCGTTCTTACATGATGATGTGATGGCACATGATATTCCGACACCGAAGGACCGCTGGTTTTGGCGCGTACGCAACAACCGCGTGCTGGACGGCTACCCCATGAACATCGGACATTTCTGGCGAGGACTGCCGACCAACATTGACGCCGCCTATGAGCGGCCTGATGGGAAATTTGTCTTCTTCAAAGGTGCGTTGGTGTGAAGGGGAAACAGCACAGCAGGCGAGGGAGTTAACATCTCGCCACGGCGGCGCCCTAATGCAAATTCAACAACCCTCTAGGGTTTTTTTCCTAGAAATAATTTGGGGAAGGAATAAATGAATTAATTCGTTGCTGTAATAACAAACAAATTTGATCGTGCATATCAGAGCCCACTTTCCTGTTTATGGAGTCATGTGCATGGTTTTCGTTTCTAGAGGCTTTGGTGAAAACATAAACCGGGGCAATTGTCACCGTCTGGAGGCTCCCATTTACTTTAATCACTACTGGAAGCAGACCACCCACTGTATCAGTGAACTCCCATCAATTAAATCCGTTAATTATGAAATGGATGCTACATCAATGTTTCTTAATGAGCAAAAAATGTGCGAATCTATATTTTGCCCAAATTCCTGCAGGCGTATTGATTGGGAAATAGTGGCAAGTGTATTTTACTAGGTTGTTTAAATGTCTTTCTTATTTTTCCGTAAAAAACAAATGTTCAATTTCACATTTTGGATCTGGAGCCTATGCTTTTACAGTGAAAAGGAATGATGCTTTTGAAGAAAAATATACTTGTGAACCATTTGCCTAATGGGGCTTAACAAACTTAAGTTCTTATGAGCACGCTTTGAATCATGACCTGGCAGTTGCTGGGCACTCGTGGAACTACTGGGCAGATGCATCCATGCAGCTAATTTTAAAGTTTAATTCATGTAGGCATTCAATACAATAAGCCACACACCTATGACAGCCAAAAAAAAAAACGGTGTTGGCAGGACAAAAAACAACTGTTTCGGGAATCCTAAATGGTAGTTTGGTCATTGTTCACAGTCTTGAATGCCAAACGGTCTCCCCAACACATTATTACATTCCATGTGTGTTGTTTTGCTGTTGCAAATCTCTGTGGCTGCACGATCACTGGTGTTTACACAATCATTGCTGTTTATACACACACACATATAAGGAGTTGTTTTTTTAATATATATGCCATGCATGGCAGGTGGTGAAATGGTAAAGAAAAGCTTCCATGGATATGGGCACCCTAATACCTTCAGCACAGTGTACGCATTTTCATTTGACACTCGGATCTGGTTTGTCTGTGTCAGGTGACCAGTACTGGGTGTTCAAGGAGGCAATGGCCGAACCCGGATATCCCCGCAGCCTGGCTCAGTTTGGGAATGGCCTGCCCCACGACCGCATAGATGCCGCACTCTGGTGGGAGCCCATGAGAAAGACCTTCTTCTTCCAAGGAGATAGGTAAGCAATGGCCAGGAGGAATCTACTTCTCCTGACAGCGAATTCATGCCGGTCGCTCGCTCGCTCGCTGGCGGTCAGTTGCCTTCTTATCTCTCTTCAATTACCGTGGTTGTTGTTCCCGTGAACCTCGCTCGCTGATTCCTGCTCCCGTGTTAAGGACTAGGTCCACCTGACTGTTTCGTCTCATCTACACTCTGTTCACTCGCCACACTGCAGGTCACAGCAACAACTCCCCACCCACTCGCCACACTGCAGGTCACAGCAACAACTCCCCACGCACTCGCCACACTGCAGGTCACAACAACAACTCTCTACCCACTCGCCACACTGCAGGTCACAACAACAACTCCCCACCCACTCGCCACACTGCAGGTCACAACAACAACTCCCCACCTACTCGCCACACTGCAGGTCACAACAACAACTCCCTACCCACTCGCCACACTGCAGGTCACAACAACAACTCCCTACCCACTCGCCACACTGCAGGTCACGGCGCTGCTCGACTTTGGTATTCCCTCCCATTGTCTCTTTTCCTAAGTTAGTTTAACCTGTATTAATTGAACGGGCATATTAACTCGTATCTCTTACAACCTTAATCGTGCTGATTGTTTGTCGGTCGTTTGGCATTTTGGATCTTTGTGCCTGTGCTCAGTAATAGTGATAAAAACAAATCAACATTAGCCAAACTTCACTTCTTGTGCTGTGCTATTCTCATGCCTACTGTGTGTGAATTAATCGAATTTGAGGAATTTTAATGGAAATCAAAGACGTGGGGCCATCATGAGACTTGGAGGTTTTGTGACTTTCTAGAAATTTACTGGTTTCATGATTGGGAGGTATCATTATCACTGCCTGCGATTCGTTTAGCGAGAAATGTTCGCAACAATGTAGGATTTAAAAGCCACATGGATTTAATGAATGTACATGGTGATCCACTTGTAAATACGTCACTGATTTATAATGACTGAGATGCAGCAATGAAATGTTTATGCTTCATGAATGGTGTAAGCAAATCACACTGGCTATGTTGGACACAGTATATCAGAAGAGCATTGAGAGATCGACAAAACTTGTGGTGAGATTGGTTAACATATGGGGGCTATGAATAAATGGATCATCCAAAATCAGGGAATCATTATTTATCTTGGAAAAATCCGATTACCTATGAAGCTCTTTTTCACAGATGTCCATCAATGATTCGTGACAATCACTACTTGTTCATTGGTGTCAAAGTGAGGGCCTTATTTTGTTGCTCATTGCACCTACCTCCCTGCTAATGGCTATACAAGATTGTGTTGCGGTGCCCTGTTCTGCACGGTACATGACATGCTGCTCCTTGATTCAGGTACTGGCGGTTCAATGAGGATAACCACGCCACAGACCCTGGGTATCCGCGGTCAGTCACAGTGTGGAAGGGCATTCCGGACGGACCAAAGGGAGCTTTCATGGGTCGAGAGGGCGGTAAGAATCCACATATTCGCTTCTAAACATTTACTGCCTACTCTACAATCATTGTTTATTTTGTCAGTCTTTGGCTAATGGCTTAATATCGATATTGCTTTGTTTTGATTTTCTCTGTGCTATAGCACAAAGGAACATAAAAATTAGTATCGTATTTAAAGTACAAAGGGCTATTACTATTACTGGATATGTAAACACGAAGTTTACTTCAGGGGAGGCAAAGTGCAAATAATGAGATGATGATAAAATTGTATGTGCATGATCGATGATATTAACATGATAATTTTTGAATATTGTAAGAGCTTAGGACAGAGCAAATCTGTGAAATCCATGAAATATTTTTTACCAACATGTAATTTATTCTTGGAAGGAGCAAGAACACGCTTGCAAATAACTGTCCAGGTACACACATATGGATTTATACCACTTAAGTTGCATTCCATGAAATCTTACATTCTTTTTGCACTTATCATTGGTGCCCACATTTCACTCATACCCAGGCCCCAACGATCGGTGCAGGATTTGCGAAAGTGGTGCGCTGCAAAAGTTGTTCGGGTTTCTTTTTTTTACTTATGACATGAAATGGTGAAAAATATAGCTGTATTGATTTCAGCCGGAAATGATGACCTGCTGCATTGAGAACAATCTTTTCCCATAGCCTATTTTAAAGAAGATTTGAGACTTTTGATTGGAAAAGTGGAATGAAGATTTTATGAATTGAGTTATCGATGACACTGGGGCAATAATGCAAAGGCCTTGTAGAGGCAATACTCATTTATTCAACTTATATATTTTTCCCCAGAGCTTTGAAGAATATAAATGCATGTATTGTGTATTGTTCATCTAATGTATATCTCTAAGCATACACACTGAAAACATCCTGGCACATTTAAAAAAATAAAGTGGATGCAATACGTTCCTAGTTAGAAACGATCGTCCGAATGTAAACATTAATTATTTCAGAATTACGTACATACAACCTTCCCATGACCAAATCACCCAGAATCAGAATCTTCATCCTGGAGAAATCCAATGAGATATGAGCGTTTTCACATATGTCCAGTAGGGGCGGACAAATTATAGAATGCGCCCGATCTTGTCAGATCTCGGAAGCTGAGTAGGTTTGAGCCTCGGATGGGTGACAAACCCAGCGCAGCAGGTGCTCTAGGCTGCTGCAGAGGCAGCAGTGGACCGTTGTTGTATTGTACTTCTATTCCCACAAACATCTATGCTCCCCTCCTTCACCAACCAACCCACGCTGACAAGCATTGCAAAGCACGGACCGAATAACCCTCACGACCCGCACGGCGTCGCGAGATCTTTGCCCAGCCGTGAATTTGCAAAACAAACTCTCCACGTACGTACGGGCGACTCATCAGCAGAACGCTCATTGTTTCTACCCCACCCTCTCTCTGTGGCTCCTGCTCGCTCATGCAGCCTACACCTACTTCTACAAGGGCAAGGACTACTGGAAGTTTGACAACGAGCGGCTCTCGGTGGAGTCCGGTTACCCTCGCTCCATCCTCAATGACTGGATGGGTTGCGGCGGCGGCGGCGGCAGCGGCGGTACCGGAGGCCCAGGAGGCCCCGGTGGCCCCAGTGGCCCCGGTGGCCCTGGCGGCGGCGTTTCCGACGACAGCGACGGGCGGCGGAGACACCGCCCTCACGGCGACGACGTGGACATCGTGGCTCGCACGGCGGCCGCCAGCGGCGTCAACGCCATCGCCGTGGTCATCCCCTGCATCCTGGCGCTGTGCATGCTGGTGCTGGCCTACACTGTGCTGCAGTTCAAGCGCAAGGGCACGCCGCGGCACATACTGTACTGCAAGCGCTCCATGCAAGAGTGGGTCTGACTGGCGGGGGGGCCCCGCTCACCTGCCAACTCCCCCCCCCCCCCCCCCACTGCCTCCCACCACACCCCGTCACAGCAGCAGCAGCAGTCGCACGGCCAAAATATCCCGTCAAAGAGCCCTGGCGAGGAACGAGCAATTTCCTAGAACTAACAATGAAATGAAATTTTTAACATTGATTTGAAAAGGAGTAAATAAAAAAGCGCAGCAGGAGGAGGGAGGAGGAAAACAAGAAAAAAAGGCCCACTTGAGGGTTTCCTGAACTATGACAAGGCCTTGAGACGAGTGCCTGCGGTCTTTATGCAGACCTGGTCGCCGGAATCTCTTGTTTGTGTCTAGACAGGGTTTTATGAGAGGTACTTGAGAGATGAACAATCCAAGGCCATTTGAGCGACCCTACCACGCGCACGACAAGGTTTTTGGCCACGCTTGGGTTTTAGACAAACCGGACAGCGGAATATTCCAAAATGGTTGCTGGCGAGTGGACGAGCCGGCCGTACCTAATCGTTTCGCCAACCGTTTTCACGACGCTTCGGCGGAGACGTGCCACTCTGTGAACTTCAGCTGAAATAATGACTCTGGGCCAAAAAAAAGCCTTAAGATGATTTTCTCTCCGCTGTAGCAGCTTGCAATTTGGTACACGACGGAGGGAGTAATAAATGCGGCTGCACTGTAATGTATAAACTACCTAGAGAGATTCCGCCGTTACTTGGGGCAAGAGTTCTTTGTGCATGCATTGCAGGCAAAAAAAAGAAGTCCGTATACACTAATATAACCTCTCAAGCGAAACAACCTGAAGGAATTTCATTCAAATTAACAACTCTGAGATTTGCAGTGTGTCGGCTATGTTCGAATCAAGAGCTTAACTCAGCTAGAAATGGCATAACGAAAGGGAATTCGGGCTACAGCGGTTTCTGCGGATGAACCAACACAGTCTTAGGATATCTGACATTCAGTTCCACTTTATTTAAACATTAATAATCAGAATTTAACACTGGGTCAATTATGATATTTGCTTGTGTGTTTTTTTCCCAGGTGTTCACATATCAAGTAACATTTCAATTAATGTCGCCAAAATTTTGCAGGGCTTTGCAGAAGGTTATAATAAGCATGGGCGCGTATAGTGCAACATTTTTGTTATTGAACTTTAATTACTTTTTACTCACTGTTGTTTTCATGACTTGGGTTATACTCTGTCTAATAATAACCTTTAGATTTTTTTTCTCTCCTTTTAATGCATCCGTTATATGAACAGAATCTTTCATTGACGGATAGTCTCATGATGCATCCAGACACACAACAACAACAACGAAAACTTGTGTGCTGTTAAAGGGGATAATTTTGGCGTAACCTCATGCTTGATTAAAGTGCATGCCGGAAAAGAGGAGCACATGTATGGGAGTGTAGTAGGAAAGGCCTGGACATATTTGAAGATCACAGTTGATAATACAGTCACTTTTCAGCTTTGCATAATTCTAGGTTACATTTATAAATAACCATAATTTTGGCTACATATAATGAAGTGTTACTTACAAAAAAACATTAGCAAGGTTTGACCTAATTAACCTGATATATTTTGATTTATACATATGAAAAAAAATCACAATTCAAAGATTGGATTCCATATTTTGAAACCTAAATTAATGACTTCAAACTAATATGTTATAACCAACAGACATGGTCAAAAGTTGAATGTCCACAAAAAATGATTATTCACACATTTATTTACAATGACCCTATTCTACAGTAACCTGTACTAGTATCAGTTTATTTTAACAAAACTTGTACAGTTACTGCTTGAAGAAAAAATATGGATTAACACGAACCATCAAAACAGAAGTGTTATGTACAAATATTACTATACTTAATTTAAGAGCTTGTTAAAGGTGCTTAATATGCTATAGGTTCTAACTGCATTGGCCCATAGTAGGCCTATCAAGTTATTTAAGATTACACTAAGCTTATCTGCTTTTGTTGAAATGATAATTTGCTGAATTAGCAAAATCACATAAAAAGGAAAAATGTAACAGAGGTGGAAACTGTGAATTGTCAAAGCTACTGTGGGTAGCTGAATTGTTTACATCGAAAATGTCAGTGCAAATTTTTTATTTTATTATTTTATTGTTGTTCTTTTTCAAAAATCTTCGTGGCATTTGACCAACTGAAAAAAAAAGGCTTCAGATTTAAAGGCTGTTACAGTTTTAATTATTTTGCACTTTTTGTATTATTTCGGTGCTTTTCAATGTAGGAGTTACGTGGTTTTAGTGGTTACTGCATCTCACTGATGCAGGTTTTTTGATAGCATTTACACGGAACAATGTGGAGCGACAAGGTGTAGAGGCGACCGATTGTCGCTCTGTGTGACTGGAAGCCATTTTACTGAAGGCCTGAAAATGTTAGATTCATTTTTGAATCTTACCAATTTGGTTTCTCATAAAATGCTAAAAAATAACCCACACAAGGAAATCAATATAGACCAATTCAAATTATGGAATTGTACTAAAATTGTATGTTAGGTTCTATAATTAAGCATCTTTAACTTTTGAAAACTTTATTCATTTATGATTCTGAAATCAGGTTTATGTGTAATCCCACACTAGCATTGCTGTGTTCACCCATTCGCCCCTGCTGGTCAGGTGTGCCAATACAGTATATCAAGTGTTGTCAAATTGTTTGGCAGACTTAAAGTAGCCTTATGTTATAAATGTACATTATTTTGGAGAAAAAAAAAGATCTTTGAAAAAAATGATGATTTGTTATAATATTTTTTTTTAAACAATGAACACATTCTTCTGTGGATGAGTTCTCATGTAATATGTTTGTTTAAAAAAAAGTGAGATTGGTAGACAAAGCATCTTTGGTTATGCCAGTTGAAGACGACTTCACAGACAAAGTATATTAAAAGGATCAATGTACATTATCCTTCATTTTATCGACTCACAAAATCACCCACAGAAGCCGCAAAATGCGCAATATTGTGTTAATGTAAAAATGTCACTGAATGAAGTCAGTACCTTCTAATTTAATTGTTTTTTTGTTTTATTTTATATGTTGTTATTTATTTTTTTATTTTTTATTTTTTTAAAGTTCTCCAGAGCCTTGAAATAGCATTCTGAAATACGTGTCTTGAACATGTCAATTCTTGTCAAGCTTATTATTTTTGAATAAAATAACAAACATCCAAACTTGACAATAATCCGTGTACGTTTGAATTTCTAATACAAACACCTCGTGCCAAGCCTGCGCATTGTACCACACGGGATGCAGCCCTGCACTTCCAAATTCACCCCGCTCTCTTAAGTTTGTTCGTATAACCTTGATTGCAGTGTTAGTGCACGGTATAAGCAATTCAGGCAAAAGCGTAGGGCCCCAAGTAGATCAGGGGGTCCCAGATTCATGCAAAAAAGGGGTGACTCAAATATCAGCTAAGTGAAATCTCCGAATGCACATATAGATATAATTGACAATAAATGAATCTCTTCTGATACCTATCGGTACTAAATTAATCTCTTCTGATACCTATTGGGACTGCATCGCTCTTCTCACATCTCACAACATCTCTATTTGTGTGTACAGTTATCTTACCCCACTACAATTATATCTTTCGTCTTTATCTCTTCTGTCATCTAGCAAGCATTTAATAAACTGAAAGCCCCCTCCCCATAATGTCTGTGATTAGGTCCCTCGTGGGCTACCACCACCACTGCTTGTTCAGTCTGTCTCTTGGTCAGAACATGACTCCTACTTTGGGAAATTATTGAATCGGCCACAAGTTGAGGTGTATTCCAATACAAGTTTAGAATAGGTTAGCATATAATCACAGAAATGGATGAAACAAATGTATCTTGGCTGAACATGAGTCATTGGTCCGCAATGGGGGTTCTCCACTGAGCCTCTTAGAGAGAGGTGTGTGCCAGAGAGGTGATTTTACTCTGCAGCCATTGGCTATAATTAGGTACATTTTGCAATTTCCTTCTTTCACATGAAAGCATTTTTCAATGAGAAACATGGGTGCCGAGGAAAAAAAGTGTGAGTGCGTGTGATTATTCTTAAGCCTGCTGCTCTCCGGAGCTAATTAATGACATGCACACCTGATAGTCAATTAACACACCTTCAAAGCTGGCATCTCTGTAAAATAACAACATTGCCAAACAGAATTTAATGTGCCCAACACCATAATTGGTAACTTCAAGCCCAAATATAACACTTTCAACCCTCCCCTTGGCATGAAATCCAGCACGACATTTTTTTTTTGTAAACGGAAAAGTGTCAGTTTAACATGTAGGCTTTCGCGACCAATATTATTCATAAAAGTGTTTTGGGTTAGATCGCGTTATTTATGAATGTGTTGGAACCCTCCACCACCCGACACGGCCAAACAGTAAAAAATGTGCCACGTTTACAAAAGACAAATAGTTCACTACTTTTGCCCACCGGTGTGTTGAAGAGTGAATCAACATCATTTAAAATTTTGAGTACGACGTTTCGCTGGTAATTACATCCAGCATCATCGGGCAATTTCCCAGAATGGCTAAAGTAGTGAACTTTTTGTCTTTTGTAAACGTAACACATTTTTTACTGTTTGGCCGTGTCGGGTGGTGGAGGGTCACGACACATTTATAAATAACGTGATCTAACCCAAAAAAAAACTTTATTATGGAAAAGGTGTCAACTCTCCGGTTACGTTTTCAGGTTCTACCATGTGTTGTTTGGATTGACGTCCAAAGTTTTACTCTGGGTGCTGGAAGCTTATTCTGCAACTGATACTTCCTGAAGACTGGATATTAATGAACTTGTGGGAGGTACTTGCTTTCTGAATTACAAATGTCCGAAGAAGCTGCCAACACGTGGAGCAAAACGTTGAACATCACGCCGTATAAGGTTGCGGTACAACCACGAAAACCTACCCTGTTTTAAAAATATGTCAATTCGACTTTAGAATTCTGTTTTAACAAACCCAGGGAGAGTGGATGCCTGCATCTGGTTTTTCCCTGGCGTAATGAAGAGCGGCGGACCGGGTAATATGATAGAGAGGTTGGGTTGAACATTATCCCAGCAGTATTTGTCCTAGTTTTTCCAATTTTCAATGTATTAACTGGGACAATATTACACACTATTTGAACGTAATGAACTTTTAATTGACAGTATTAAGTGTTCATGGGCTGAAGGCTGGGTATCAATTAACTAGTGGGTTGCCCGTTTTGTGTAATCATTGTCCCAATTGGAGCATTGCCTAAAAATAGTCACGGATTTCATTTGCCGGTATTGGTCATAGGGGTTGACGATATTTATTCAATGTTTATTTTACACTTTGTGCAATTGTTCAACATTTTCTCAATTCCGTAGAATGTGATAATATGTTGTCATTGGATATTTCAGTTGCATCCTTTGGGAGGTAATCATGAGTAACCACAATGCACTGGAGATTGTGGCAGTCTATATATATATAAAAAAACATACGCATACATAAAACAGTAAAGATAAATATATGTGGATGTCCACACCATTGCACATCCCATAAGTAATGAAGCACAGTACAAATTATGCGAATGATGACATAGTTTCTCAGTGTGTTCAAGAGTCTTTTTGCATGATTAATTCTGCATATGCACTGATTCTACCTTGTTATTATTCGTGGAAAATAGAACTGCTTTGTTCAAAAGCCACTGACAATCGGTGGCCCAAGTGTAATGAGCAGATTCGATTTCTGCTTATTCTCTGGGTGGAGAATAAACTTTACCTCACGAGGCACATGCAAAGATGGAACTGGCGGTTGTGTTTCTACAAGTCTAGTTTGGTGGTGAGTTTTTTGTTGTTATAAATCTCCTACAATTTTTATTGTATTGCTTTTTCTCATTCCCACACCACCAGCGAGAGGACCTTATATATATTTTAAAGCGTTTTTACGTCCACTGTTAGACCAGCGTCATAATGAATGTTGTTGTAGCCTTCTCAAGTTGCGTCTGTGGACTGCTTGTAAAAATTCATTGCTCAGCCATCATTAATTGTATCTTCCTGTTTTTTTTTAGAGTAGGTGAAAAACAGCATTCACCCTGCACGGGGTATCTGTTGAAAATACAGAGCAAAGTGTTGTCGTTTCAGAAACGGTGTAAAGCATTGAGCTCGTCGGATGAACCCGATATCCTTCCACACCAATGTTATTATTTTTTAGTGTATCATGCTATTGATGTTCTAAGGGGTGTCAATTTATAAACATAAATAAAAGATGTATAAAAATGCGGTAAGGAGAATCACGTGATTATCCACCCCACTGCGCTTCCCATAATGCAGCAAGTCAGATTTATCTGCAGCTGGAGTTGGATAGACAGCGGTGAAACCGTTTTTCAATCCATGTGGCCTTTTTTATAAAGAAGGCAGGCACCTCTTTCACGTGTGGTTTATTTTTCAATTTAAGTCACGATTTGCTTTTCCTAAATTGGTTCAATGAAATTATCAAGGTGGCTTAAAAAAAGTGAAGGATACATCCTGAGCATGAAAATAACGACATTTAGTTTTTTTGTACTGTGGTCATATACATAGATTGGTATTAAAATATGGAATATCACCAACACGTTTGGCATGGAAAAATATATACAGTGAGACTATAAATTTTAGTCTTCATAAACATGGTATAAAATATTAACATTGTTATATATATTTTATTATTTTATTGTTTCCCTTCAACGTGACTTTACCGAAAGAGCTAAAAATATGAATAAGAATATTAACATAGTGTTAGAGGTTTAGTTGGGGAGGAGAAATCTCAGGAATCTAGTATCATGAAAAGTTAAGGTCACCTTTTTAATGACAATGAGACTGGAATTGAGTAAGAGGAGTCAGGTTTTTTTGGGGTTTGGACAATTACACCCCTTTTACCTAAAGACAATTTTTCCTCAAATGACGAATAGACAGCAGAATACGCCTACGTTGGTGGCATGCACAAGGGTGACCTTCATCACAACCTTTCGAGATCTGCAACCGTACCTTAAATGGTTGCCATTTGACCTGGAGCAAAACATGAATGCAACCAAATTACTGTTGGGAGACAGTCGTTAAAATAAAAGCAAGCAAGCGACGTTTTTTTTGGAGGCGATGAAAAACAAGCCAGCGGTCACACAAAACAATCGTCAATGACTGCTGACGTTTAAAAAAAATAAAAAGCCACTATAAACCACCATGGGATATAAAGGGCGCTGGTGTAAGTGTCCCCCCGCAGTTCGCAAGCGACGAGGCCTGAAGTGTTCTTTTTTTATTATTGCCCCTCCGTTTACTACCGCTTTTTTATCACTTTGCAGCCTGGGAATTCGTTGGGCTTAGCGGCGCAGGAAGGGTGTCCGGTGCCCACCCAACTCCTGAAACAACCCTGTGAACGGCGAACCCAGTTGGGGGCTTGTGCTGGCAGTAGACGGCTGCTGCCGCTGAGTGCCACTCCCCAAAGGCATGAGTTTCTGCCTCGATGCCATTTGCCACCTCTCAAAAAATGTGAGTTCTCGTCTCAGGGGTTAGGGTTAAACGAAACCAATAGCGGCAGTTTCTCGCCGTTATCAATGTCACATCGCTTACCCCTTGTCCTGCCCACATTTCCACCGGAGTAGAGAGCCTTTGAGGAGTTCCCATGGAACTATTAAAAGCCGTCATGAGCGGGGAATGGCTATTGTGCTTGCGGTCAGCTTGCCTCTCAACACTTGCGCTTTGGCAAGGGTGTGATGGTGGGTGCAGTCATTGGTGAAAAAAATAGCTGTAAAGAGCGTAACTCTGTATTTCTCGAAATAAAGTTGGATATACCCTTCAGAGGGTCGAGTTGTGTGTGGGAGGAGTGTTTGCTTAAGTGTAACAGACCTGCAGCTATTTACTCTGTGGTTGTGCAGACTTTCATACCTTTTGCATGTGTCATATTTGGTAGATTTTTTTCCCCCTTGAATATGTGTTAATCGACAGCATTTGTTTAAACATGAATAGCCTGGGCTTGTTTCTGCCCTCTGGTTCTCATCGGCAGAGTCAGACTTGCTGAACAAATACTTTACAAATGCTTTACACCATGGGAAGTGAGCACAAGAAAACACAATTGCATAAACACTCACAGAGCACAGTTGTCCAACATTTGTCTGCAAGGCGAACATTCTAAAAGTACGTATCGCATTCATCTGGCAATAAAGAACAAAAGCTTAATCATGTGCAGTCGATTCTCATATGACA